GATGGCAACCAAAATAAAGGAGCCTTATCTATAAAATGATAGTATTAAATTACATCTACGTCAGTGGTTTTATATAAGTTAATTTCAGCCGGTTAAATGTGCTAGATTTTTCTAGCTATGACAATGCATGAAAACTTAGAGCTGACCTTTAAAATCAAAAACAATATTTTTTCTGTTCTAAATTTTATTGTTCATGAAGGGAAGCTCCATGAAGAAAATACTTTCAATAAAATAAGTTATTTTTAGACTGTCATTTTCAGTGCTCCAAAAGTCTACTCAGCCTGCAAATTTGAGCAATTTCAGTATTTAAATATCTACAGAATTGCAGAATCAAAATATAGAGGAGCCCTGCAACTCCAGTTAGTCTCTCTGTGCCAATTCAGTAATGGTTCTCTAATGCACATTCATTACCATTTTGTCCATTTTAACTCGAAAAGTCGTACTCAATCTACCATTTCCTTGTAAAATAAAGACTGTTGGCCACTATACAGTCTATTTAGAACCTAGTGTAGATTTTCCATGAACTTCTACAGGGTTTGGTTCACAGCATATAGGACTGAAAATTGAAAAGACACATTTGCAGATAAAGATGAGTATATTGAGTTTTAGAGTAAAAAGAAAATATTCTCCATCACTTAAGGCATATTTAAAACCAAGTTAAATGTTTTTTTTTTCAATCCATGCGTGTGTGTATGTGTGTGCATATGTATATAAAACAATCACTTGTAAGAGATGAGCCACTATGTTTCATATATTAAGGTGTAAAATGATGCCTAATTTTTCAAGTTTTTTTTTTTTTTTTACCATCAGGAAGTGTCCTGATTTTTAATACCTGATCTTGACTAAGCTTTGATTACTGAAAATTACCATCTGCTTCCAGTTTGCATACAAAATCCCAATTAGCTAAATTCATATATGTTTTTCAAGGTAATTATGCTTATTTTTTTCAAAAGTGAGAAAATATTTGTCAGGTATTATCTGAATGTTCTTATAACCACAGCAATCTTAGCTTGACTTTGTCTGCGCTCTAACATACTCAAATAGAAAGTTATCAATTTGGTTGATGAGAGATTATGGCCTTTGATTACCATTGCTCCAAAGTGCTCTGTTTCCTCTTGATTACAAACACGCGTAGTCAAACTTAACAGCTTAGGTCCTTTTTTATAATTCTGTCAATCTTATTTTTTTCTCAGACTAAATAGACCTAAATATTATTTAACTTTCTACATTCAACATTTCACATTAAATCAAAAAAACTATATTTGGTTTTGCTCTAATTGTCCCAATCAGTAAGTATGTACAGAGCTCCCCAGCCTTAAGCAACAGAAGAAACGTTAGGGTCACTGAACAGACCTTAGTACCAAAAGATTTAACATTTGCAGAGCAACGCTGTCATCACATCTCTCAAGTAAATCTAGTTATTCAAAAGTACTACGTGATTTCCTGTACTCATTAATTCCTACCATGAAACACAACGCTGGGACAATTTAGAACATTGCTCTGCTTCCTTTGTAAAAAGTATCTTAACCGGATGAAAAGTTGTACAAAAGACTGATCTTGTAAGAAAATAAAAATATCCTTAACATAAAAAGCTAATACTGAGCACTGCTGTTCTCTAAGCAATGCCAACACAGTCGCAGATTGGTATCCTGTCCAGAGAAGAAAAAGGGATTCTTTTTAAACATCTCATTCTAAATTTTCCATCTTGTTATTTGAATACTATTGCACTGCTGCAACTGGTTAGCACTGCACGTCTGGCTGAATTGTCTTGGACTGGTATTTTCCCTAAACTATTGTGTATGTGTGAAATGGGTTTTTAAAAAAATACTGTATGCAAACTGAAACAATGCCCTATTGCAGACTGCTACACACAATAATTAGTGAGAGCATATTTTTTTCTGATTTTGTTTTCGACGTCAAAATGTGCTATTTTTAAAGTAAGCCACCATGAAATTCTATCTATGTTTTTACACCATTTTTCACTTTGTATTTTTCTTGCCTCTTAATCTCATAGACTCAAACTTCACACCGAACGTGTTATCACGTAAAAGTTCTAAATTTCAACACTTCTACTCTACAGCTATTTTAAACTTACATTTATCAGGAAAAAGCACAAATACAACTCAAATATTCTAATAAAAATAGTTTCACAGTAACAAGACAGATAAATGTTCCATTCAGTAAAAGGTCAATTTTTCATAACTTTGGCTACAGAAGCCCTACCATTCAGCCAAATTTGATTCTAAAGCCAAAAGTTTCCTTGTCCTGCTTCTACAGACCATACTATTAACATTTTGCAAAGTCCATCAAATTAATGAGGGGCAAAAAGTCAATCTTTTCTCATAAAATTACTGAGACAGTCCACCTCAATCACCAGATATTTTATAAATATTACCACTTACAACTTTCGCAACTCTAAACATTCGGGGAAAAAAAAAAAAAAGTAGGAGAGAGGGAAAGCGGAATTTCTTCCTTAAAAATAAACAAACACCTAAATATCCAGAGCCTTAAAAATGCAAGCTCCTGGTTTGCTTTCTAGTAGGAAGGATCTGGAAAGCCCGTAGTTCTGGTCAGCTGAGAATTTCCTTGCCATGGGGGAGCTCCCAGCTGAGCAGCCAGCATTACTGGATCCTGCACAGATACCATTTGACACCAGCTCAGGATGCATTAGGAGCTAGAAAGAAGTGGCCAGAGCACATTTTATACTTCTGAGGTCTCACGTGCCTAGATTGCTCTAATTTATACTGAGGGCAACACTGCCTTATACATAACAGTTCTGCAAGGCTAAGCAGAAATCTAGTGCAACAGAGAACGTGGATTTAGCTAGATATAAAAGGTTTCTAAAGCTAAATCATAAATTAGCCCAGAACACTGGACTTCTTGTTTTTACTGTCCTGTAAGATTTGGGGAAAAGTAAAGCCTGGACGAAAGTAATCAGTCTTCAGAGCTGTCATCCTCTGCCTTATCCACAACCAGGTGTCTCAGTCTATGCAAGCACACAAAACCTCAGATATGTTCCTAACTCTGTATCTGTTGCCTATTGGGAATTCTCATCTGTACATTAATTGCTCACTTTTCATTTCAAGTGCAAAATACTTGGCTGCAGACAGCAGGATTTCTTGGCAACTATGCAGAGTTCTCTTTCTTGTGTTTGCCCAATTATATCCGAGACACAGGATTAACTGTCATCACATTTTCCAACCAGAAAGCTGGAGAGATTTGAGGTTGATTGAAGATGGCACATGAGGAGAAGGAAGAGACATTTGTTGGGGGTCTCTGTTTTCCTTTTGTTCCTCCACAAGTTTCTATAAAAACGTCAGAAGAAGTTTTGCACCTTTCTTTAGAACCGGTCTGGCATAATGCTGAACAGTACTCCCAGGCCATGTGCAAATTCAGCTTAAGACACAAACTGTAACGCTCATTTTCTGAAGAAAGTGGTACAGTCTTTCTTGGAATAATGAAAACTCGGCTTCTGGTTTTCCAGTTACAGATTTCTACTACCTAGCAAAATTTGGGCTTTCTAACCTCTGTGAGTTTTACTGATTTTGCAAACACCCAACTTCTCTCTGCATAGATGCACTGCAGTGACTTTGATCAGGAGTTCCCAAGTTCAGCTTATTTGGTTGCCACCATCAGAGACAGCGCTGACCTGTGATATGAGCCTCTATGCAGAAACAGGAGCTTCTTGACAGGCCCGGTACACATGCATGAAAAAGCACATGTCTGTCACCTCCAACCCTCTTATTGCAAAGTCTCACTCACCACAGTAGGATTCCCAACTCCATGCCTTCATCTGCAATGGAACTACACACCTCACCTTGCAAATTGGAGCCTCTGTTAAATGCCCAACCCTTTACTTACCTTACTCACCACACATCACACCAACACAAAGTAGGGTGACAGTGACTGCAGCCACATCCTCCTACCACAAAAGGCCAACCCCTCTAACCAACCATACTTCTTGCTGCCTTAACCCTGCTTGATACCTTCTTGAAGCAAGCATTGCAAGTTGTGCAAGGTGGGATGGAGCACCTTCTGCTGAGCAGAGCACTGCAGCTGGATAGAGAAGTAATAACTGATTACCAAAAACTTTCTGTGCAGAGCTCTTTACCTCATGGCTCAGATAAGTGCTTGTATGCAAGCAGAGTTAACAGCTGCCATCATCATGTAACACTTTAAATTGGTTTTGCACCACAATTCGGAAATGTCTGACTTACACAATAGGCACAAATATGCATAACAAGTCACATTTCAATCTGTTCTTTTCTCTTCCTGACAATGATCTAATTTAAGATCCTAGTGTCACTTAACCAGACACTTCTACTGGAGAGAACTTTATTGCCTCTATGGCACCTTCAAGGACCACGACCCCTCCAGAAATATTTAATACATGAGCCAAATTCTACTAACAGTTGTAATGGTAACAGGTTACATAGTTGGGGTTTATTTTAAAACAAATATTTGTTTAAAAAACTAAGGAATACATCTTGGATTGTAAATACGCTCATTCCGAAACCTGTGAAGAGTAAGGAGAGTCAGATGGAAAAATTTTACCTCTGCTTTGCACTGATTATATAATTTATCAAAAAACTTTTCCACAGGCCTACAACAGATGCTCCGCTGTTAGAGCCATGAAAAGTCATTCAGGGAGAGGGTAAAGGCCTCGGGGGTGTGGTCCACATGCTTTAGCACATATATCCTCAGTCCTGGCCTGCAGATAGCACATCTGGTCCAGGCATGGACCTGATGGTTGGCCAAAATACAGGCTTACAATAATGCTCTTTTTTCAGCTTTAATGTAAGCCTGTTTTCTTGCCAAATTCAAATCCTGCCAAAATTTGGCCAAAGATGTTTGCTCAATTGTGCAATATCTTAAGTTTATATCCAACAACTCTTTGCAAAAACAATTGTATCGTGTTTTTAATGTTTACAGACATTAACAATATTTAATTTTAAGTAGAATTTTACTGCTGACACTCTTTGTGTTTTACAGTAAATTACCTTAGAGAGGGTTTTTCCATTAGCTCTTAGTGTCACGAGTCCTGCACAACACACCAAAGCACTGGAGCTAGAGAGACCAGAACTTGGAGGGATGGTTCCATCTAGCAGACAATTCATTCCAGTTGGATTATTAAGACCAAAATGTTCCTAACAATGAAAAAATAAACAATCTCAGTTTCAAGTACAGACAGGCTCAGGCTTGCAATTATCTGATACTTAGAAAGAGAATCTTTCTGCTGAGTTCCTGGAACCAAGGACCTGCTTCTGGTGCCTCCAAAAAAAAGAGGAAAAAAAGTGAAATTTTCATTCTGTTCCTTAAGAACAAAGGCAGAGGTATGGCTTCAGCCAAAGGTATGTCTGCAGTTCCTGTATGCAAATGTACATGAGCTGACAGAGTATGTACCCCATGCACAACTCGGTATGAGCTAAATGCCCAAGAATTTACCAAGCTTCGTGGGTGGTTCTGCAGTACTGGCTCAGCTCTGAGCTGCCGCAGTGACAAAGAATATGACAATACCAGTGGTTACCAATCTTTTTATAGCCTACTTTTGCCTACTTTTCTCCTCCTCCTCAGCTCCTCACTTAATGTATCCTAAAGAGCTTGAGGTCTCCTTCATGTTTCACTTCTCACACTGACATGCCATATTAGGGAGCCATCTCAGGCTGATGGGAAACCAGTGGCCATGAAGCTGTGTTCAAAGCCAAATTCCCCCGTCACCTGAAGCACCCACAGGACTGGCACTGAGAAAACCGCAACGGTACTTGAAGGAAGGTATGCTCTAGGAGGCACAAAGACATACTTACCAGCAGTGAGGATATCTGTCCTATTATTTTTAGAATAAAGTTTGAAACATTTTTGCACACACAATAAATATCACAAATAATATATTTAATCCAGAAATCTTAAATCCTTGAGCACATATTCTTTTAATTAGTCTTTATTTGCTTTGCCTTTTCATTCACCATAACTTCAATATAAATTTCTCTCTTATGTTAGTTTGAAGTGGACATGCAGTGCTTATCAAAAAATCTTTGAACGTATGTGGGGGAATATGAATAGTTACATTCTGATTCAGATTTATACATCAATAAACTACGTAAAAATGTCAACAATCAGAAAAATGGCAATGTTGCTATACAAAAATGCCCACCTTCAAAAGATTTCTGCTATTTTTCCTGAAATAGCTTCAAACATAAATAACACCGGCAGAGGTCAACAAACACGAAGAGCCTCCTTTGACACCGTCTACCATTTTACCATCACTTCATATTATTTTAAATTTCCCTTTCTACAAATACAAGAGACTTTGTACCTGAAATACTAGTGCTGCCCATGCCCTTTTATGAAGAACACTAGATAGGCTTGTTCAAAAACAGAAAATGCTCGAGTAACCAGAAACTGATCCACAGTTTCTGGATTGTCTTGAATGTGAATCAGCTCGCAAACTTATCACGCGATGTTTAAATAGAAAACGTACTTCAGTTTCAAAAATGAAAATGGACTTTGCCAAGTTCTGCAATAGTTCTGTCCCAAAAGGATAGCATGTTCAACTTAATATAAACAGATTATCCTGCTGGACCCTCTGAGTACTTGTATTTCAGTGTTTCTTAAGTCTGTAACATTTATGCTTATTTTCTGCCAACATTAGAGTCTGGAAACCTGCTTTGCAAATTAACCTTCAAGTATAAAAACTTGTCTTTAGGAAACAAATCTCAGTGGCAGACTGCAAAATAAGTGAATTGGTCACGCTAGCCTTAATATAAGAAAGGATATATCATAAAGAAACATAATCTGTATCTGTACAGTCAATACAGTTTACATGCATGTTTTACTCAGTAATACCAAATTGAAAATACTCATTTTACAGCAGACAGGAGTCATTTATTGAGTCTATTACTAAAGACAGAAGGGCGGTCAGTTTTGGAAGTGTAGAGTGTAATAAAGTGATTTGTGGCACTGGTTGTTCCAAATACTGTTCAGAGGACATCAGTGCCAGGTATGAGGCTCGTTTTGACGGCTGTCTGCAGTGCTCATCTATTGGATCATCCTGTGGCATGACCTAGATGGTGTATCCAGAGGCAAGCTCCATGCACTTTAAAAGGCACATTTACCCACAACGTGGGATGGCTGTGGCGACCTCTTCCTTGCCTCACCATCCCTGTTTACCCCATCTGTCCTTCCAGAAATCTCACAGGACCAGTATCAGGTTGAGAAGATGCCGTGTTTTCTTCCTAGAAGGGCCATGAATCACCTGCAATGGACAAGTGAGATTTATAGGGAGCCTCAGCTCTGCGTTCCAGGCTGCCTCTCAGGACGATACGGACACAGAGCCCTCCCTTTCACGGGCCCTGCAGGCTCCGAGCCTCAGTCCAGAGCCAGGCTAGTTTGCAGAGGAGAAGATAAAGCTCAAATGAGCATACAGGAAAACGGCTGTCTGGTCAGTGCTCCAGCCCTTACCGTAAGCACGCCATTTCCTGCATAGCTCTACTCTTAACTCACTTGGGAAATTTTGAAAAACCCATTCAAATTCCACGCACCAAAAACCTGGATAAGTAACAATTCTTACTGGAATGTTCCTTCTGTACAATGTTTGTTTACTTTTTACATTTTCTTTTGCCTACCGCATGAGTCAGCTTTGCTCCGTTGCTGTGCGCTAGTTTCCAGCATCAATGGAAATTAACTATGTTTTTTAAAACATTTCCATAGGAGAGAAAGAACTAAGACAGGATCTTCACTTCCTGATAGCCAAGCCTCCAAACCCTTTTGAAAGCGAATATTTATTACCTGATTTTATTGGGAAGCATTCTTTTTAACTTTAAAATGCAGAAACGTCATTCTGATAATGAGTTTGATCATGACTTTACTAAGCAAGCAGATTATTTAGTATCATAATTTACGTAATAAATATAAAATGAACATAGTGCTCTGCAAATATTTTAAAACAAAATCAGTCACATCTCATTTTCAAATTTTAACATAAAAATACTTCACTCTAAAGTATGCCAAGGAAAGCTACAAAATGGAGGGGAATATTTTCAGGTTGAATAGACATGATGCTTGCCATATTTTACTTCTACATTAATTTCATAAGTTAAACGGATTTGGCTTACCTGAATGCCCTTCAGTCCGCAGAGAAAGTAGTTATGCCATAGAGGTTTGGTTTTGTTAATCTGAATGTTATTAGCACTAGCACTGAAATCCCTGCAAAAACAGAAATACCTTGAAGCTTTAACTTGTCAGTAAATTTATTCAGAAAAACATGGCTTATTACTGCCACCTGCTGATGAACAGAAACATTTCAATGTGACAATCACATTGTTTTCAGTGCAGTATTTATTAGTTCTTTTTCTACGGCTCTTCTTTATTAATCAATTATATAACAATTTTTTTAATAGAAGCATAACTTATAGATGAGCTTTGCTTAATTTATTAAACAAATTCAGAAACTACAATTGCCCCTTAGCATCCTTAATCAAGGTAGCACGTCTTCCATCACTTGTCTATGTGCTTTCTTGAATCTCTCAGAGAAGTGAAAAATCTAAATAATCACACCTGTCACACTCAGAATAGAGATAAATATACTTCAAGCTTTCTTGTAATCCCTGCTCAGGAATTATTCATCTTCGTTACCTTTCGTCTGAACAGCAGTTCATTCAAATGTATGTTTTCATCTATCTTTTCAGGGTACAATTCAAATATAAGTTTACGTATTTCATCCAGGGTAATTCTGATAATGGTTTTCTTATTCTAACTTTATTTCAAAACGATAAAAACAATAAATCTGAATGTTCCTCAAGAAACTAATGCTACAGATATATGCTGTCAAAATAGGCATGGGTGTGCAAAGGCCTCCGAGGGGCATGCATTAATCCCCAAGAAGTGCAGACTGTTTAGAAGCCTATACTATCACACTCCCAATAACTATTCCTAGCTGATGTCGATACAGCAGATGCCCAACCCAGAAAGAGCAAAGACACTGAGAATGTCAGGAAAAGCTAATGACAATTATTCAAACCTTGCAGGCCAAACTGCGCTTTAAAAGGCACAGTGTGCCGTGCGATGCGATATGAAAAGAGGCAGCTGCATTCCCCGGAAACGTGCAGGCCCAATGGGGAAAAAAAACTGACAGAATATTAAGGACGGAGACATTGGGCAACTTACAAGAGACCGGAATTTTTGCTTCTTATGCTAGTCTCACTCTCTACCTGTAAAACTACATAGGTTAGTGATGTGTCTTTTTTTGTTTTTATCCAAAATAGTAGTGCTAGTTAATACCTGTAATGAATACCAACGTGAAGGTGTCCTTATCAGTAAAGTAGTGCCTTCCCTATTAAGGAACAGTTATACTAATATAAAGCATCTTTACAGTGATATCACTGTCTTCAGTTATGTCTGAAACCTTTACTTCATCCTGGTACAGTTAAAGGCTGCAATTTTTGTGATTATGCAAACCTAAAGTCTGATAACCAGAGTAAAACAGGGCCCACAATCCTGCCTCTTTATCTGGTCTAATGCTAGCTACACCATAGTGGGCTACCCCACTTGTACTGCCAGTCTAGAATCTACTGCTAGGTCAACATTACATGACAGACCTTATGCTTCAAACACCAACTTAGAACTACCATCTTTTCAGTCAGACGTTCAATGTCAGCATTCATTTCAATGCAGAATTATCAGAGATTGCTGTACAGTTTAATTTGCTGTCATTTCCATCTCTGCTGTTGAAAATAGTGCCACTTACGGGACATTATCAACAATGCCACATCAATGAATTATACAGAGTCAGTGCTGAGAAATTATTGGGTTTATAGAGCAACATAAAAGGGAGTACTGAGATTGCAATACAAGGAAAGTTGAGCAATACCAGTAAATTCTTCCAGTTTTGAGATTCATGAGTCTCTGGAACAATCTCCCAAAGGATAAAACAAAATCTTTCTGCTTATAACTTTTGAATACAATCGGAAAACAAAAAAACTGCTAAGAGAGAAAAGAAAATACTTTTCTAAAATCATGAAGAATAAAACAGTATTGTGTTTGCTTATGCTTGTTTTCTACAATACTCATAAATTATTACTGCAAAAAAGCAAGGATGATCAAAATCAATGTGTAAAAGCGACTAACAGGAGATGATTTTAAAGTCCTCTTTACCTCCAAAAAGAGGTCTAGAATATTTCATCTGCATCCTTCTTTCTATACAATCAGACAAAGTAAATCCTAAATGAATAAGACGACACATACTGTGGTTACATTTGCTGGTTGCTCATGATAAAGGAAAATAATGACTTCTTAGAATGTATTTTGCTTGTTTCTGCAATCTTCTCACATACAGGAAAGGAAAGTTGGCTTTGAATTTGGCAGGTTTCACATGGACATAATTCATACAAACACAGGATGTGGGACTGGCAAGGTCCCTTGAATCCTTAAGTCTAGCTTTTTGTTATCACATTCAAGTTGTTATAAAAACCCATTACTAAGTGCCTAAACTTCATCTTAAATCAGTAAATCTTAAATCTTATCTTTGTTCCTCCTACTGGAAGGCAAGCAGTTTGATATAAGAACATTGTAATAAAATAGAATTAAAAATAAGGAAAAACATACCTGTAAGATAAAAATAGCCTGATACTGTCTTTTTCAGCCTTTTATTTTAAAAGACTGTTGGGAAAGCTTGCCCCATCTCCAATGCTAGATATAAGCATTCTAATTCACTTGGAAGATTAGAAGAGGCGAGGTTTTTTTCATACCTGAGGAGTATTTAATCCTTATTTTTGGGAGACCAATTTGGCTCTTGCTCACAGAACGTTATCGTCCTGTCACTCTGTCAGCTTATCTGTTTCAGTCCTGTTTGAGATTTTTTTAAAAAGACTTTCAGGTTGTGCCATGAGATGGAAAACCACTGATAACCACTATTGTCCTGTGGTATTTCTGAAGGTATTTTGAGAAGTATCTTGTCAGCTACTCTCTGTGCATGTGTTTCTCAATTACAAAGATTTTATGTGAAGGGGAGGTACCTGGAACTTCAAGAGGTTTCATCTTCTGAATAGTGTTTTAGCCCAAATAACACAAAAAAGCATCTAATCAATTGGGAAGATTTATGATGAAAAACACAATAGTGTTTTTTTGCGAACTGTTCTCTGTTCTGTTTTTCTGAAAAGTTAACATGAACTATCACGGTGGAAAAGGGCTATATAGCAGTTAACAAAACAAGAAAGAAATAGGAAATAGTGATTCTACAGAGGCTTATGGTTAGCCCTTGTTAGCCAAAGGTCTACATATATGCATTCACCACAGGCATAAATCTACCAGTGTAACAGACTGGGGAAAAAAAAGACACACTGTCAACAATTGTTTGTTATGTGGTATAACATCCAAAGTGTTGAAAAATATGTCTTTGTTTTGAAATTATGAGCATGTTTTAGCTTTGTTTTTAAGCAACAGTGTCTCAATGAAACAGAGATGCTGAATGCCATACTCTGAGAGCTCTTCTTGGTTTATGGTTTAAACCATATGTTTTCAAACTGAAACCAGGGCAGATATAAAAATGTAGTGACTGTGTGTTCAATTTGAATTCAAAAGCTGTAATTCTAGATTTGGAACTGATTCTAGAACTGTGCTTACTTCAGCAGAAGGTCATTTTGATTGTTATATAATGTACCAAAAACCAAAGACCAAGTAAAAACGTTTACCTTTTGGTTACTGCTTTATTCAATATCCACTATAATAACTTTTCCTAATCAAAGCTATTATAATTCTGGAACTACCCCCTCTTGCAGAATGGTTTTGCAATACAGCTTAAGCCATACGGTAGATTACTATCACAGAAAGAAAAAGATCCTGCTCACTTCCATTTCCTTCACCCAGCTCACTGCTGCATGCTCCCATTGCTTACCCTGAGTCAGCTTTGGTGCTGCGTGCATAGCAAACCATTCACTAAAATGACAGAAAATTAAGCAAGCAAAAATTGGGTGAATACTGCACATTTCCTTAATGTCATACAGGTAACAGACTTGGTAAAAGGCAGAGGGTGGATCAAGGCTGGAAGCAGGGCTGGAGGCAGGGAGAACAGAGGTAAAAGGGAAGCGAAGCAAGCCATCTCTTCAGCAGTAGCAAACTTTTTAATTCAGCTCAGCCATATTGTGATAACATACTCCATACAGTGAGTGAAAAGCATCACGTATTTACACTCACCTGTGAAGTGAAAATTCCTTCTAATTGCCTCAGCTGCAGGTAGCAGCTCAGAACGTGTTTTTATAACATTTGCGCTTTCAGCAATATGAACTTAAATAGTTCCCACTCCTGGCAATATGCTCCTGACCACGTGCTGCAATGCACTGTGCTTTCAGGGAGTAGCTTGCCATTGGCTTAAACCAACTAAGTTTGTGCTGATTCTGATTTTTGCAAAAATCCACAAAAGGTCAGGTGGTTGAGTGACCTATCTGAACTGCCATGCAACCACACAGGTACCCATGCAACCACACAAATACCCATGCAACCACACAAATATCAGTGCATTAAAAGGAAGGAGGCAGAAAAATGTGGCTGGAGTTGAAAATAATTGCAGGATTATTTCTTATTTCCCTCTGCTCAGCATTTGTCAAGTTTTAGGGCTTCCCAGTATGAGAAAGACATTGGCAAACTGCAGCGAGTCCAGTGGAGGGCCACTAAGATGGTTATAAGGTAGGAGCACATAAACATAAAAGGAGAGGCTGGGAGAGATGGTTTTGTTCAGCCTGGAGAAGAGGAGTATATAGTAGGATCTAATTCCTGTCTTCAACCTCCTATCACGTGGCTATAGAGAAAATGAAGTCAGATTCTTCTCTGAGGTACCCCAGAAAGGACAAGAGGCATCAGACACAAGCTGCAATAAGGAAAATTCCAATTAAACATGAGGAAAACATTCTTCACAGTGAGGGTGGCCAAGCTGTAGAAGAGGATGCTCAAAGAGGTAATGGAATTTCCATCCTTGGAGTAATTCAAAACTTGACTAGACAAGGCCCTGAGCAACCTTCTCTACCTTTGAAGTTAGCCCTAGATTGGACCAGATGATCTCCAAAGGTGCCTTCTGACCTCAATTATTGTGGTTCTGTGAACAAGCAGCTGTGGGAGGAAGTGGAAGAGAGAGGGAATACAGACTCTTTGAGCCAGGAGTGCTGCTAAAGCCTTTATGTTGTGAAAATACAGCCTCAGGTTCTCCAGAGCAGGGGAGTGCTAGCTTACATGTGCAGTAATTGATTACAAAACATTTCACTCCCTTCTGCAGGAGGAACTGAACTGCTGCCAATTGAGGGGATTACATCAGGAAAGATGAGCTAAAAGGGGAAGAAAAGGCTTGCACTTTTAGAAGGATTGAAATATCAGAGGTTTCACAACAGAAACCCAAACAAAGAGGTGGGAGACAGGAGCAGCAGACCTAGTGCTCTAAACTAATATGCGCTTACAATTAATGAGATCCCATATGCTTATATAATTCATTTTACACAATTAAACTGCAGTAACATCCTACAATGGAGGTTTGTCAGATTTTTGAAAAGTTAATCTGTATTACAATTGCAGAGGTTCTTAAAAATTAGTGAATAAACAAAACTATTACTTACAAGTACGAAGAATTTGTATTGGCCAGTTGCACAACCTGTGTTTTTACAGGTTCTACTGCAATCAGTATATCTTGTTCTATAGCCATAGGGAGCACAGCATAACCACAGTAGTCTATATGTTCTCCTACAAAAGAAATAGACAATTAACATTTTGGAACAGTTCTTTCTACAACAGCAGTACCGGGGCTTCTACAGGAGTTCAGTATTGTTTACTGTCATAGAGAGTTTCAGTCTCAACTCTTATTATTTAAACTCCACTTGATAGTTTTGAGCGCATTTCCTCCATTTCACATTAACGCATAAAAATTTTGTATTTCTTTAGTGATTTTATCTATTGCCTTTCTCTACTGTCTATAAATCTTCATGTTTTTAACACTGGCTTATAAAAATAAAAAAGCACTACGTAGGCTATTGTCCAGCAATGTGAACAGCTACCTTATTTGTACGGTGTTATGTCAGTACAAAAAATTAGGTCAAATCAATCACATTTGACTGTTGGCTGGAAAAGATAAAGGCAATAAGAGACTCTCTGTTATGTGACTTCCTCTGCCAATGTGGATGATTCATTAGCCACTGGTTAAGGCTTGTGGAGGAAATTTTTTTTGCATATAATTTCTGGTCCTTTTTCCAATAAGACAGTAATTATATTTAAATAACTATCAATATAGTTACACAGAAGATGCAAAATAACTTTCAAATATAAAATATATGTAACAAATATCCTCTCTCTTAGAAATATTTTTAGTTAGCATAGGCTGTCTACTTTAATTAAGCTACATAACATGTTCACAGAACACCAAGATAAAAATTATCATTAATTGTACAATGGACTAACTAATTTTTAAACCTTTGTTTTCTGGGATCCCGTTACTGATAAAGTCATCAAATGGCTTGCATTACTCTATAAATATAGAAGGAATTGAGCTCTAGAGAGAACCCAGTCACAGCGCAGACAGAGAAATCTCGAAAATAAAGCTGCCGAAGAAATATAGGTAAGTTTTAAATGAATAATAATTGTGTCTTGCCAGGCAGCCAGTGGATCACAGGCAGCTGTTCTAAGCTCTGTGGATCCATCTCTCTGGCAGATTAAGAAAGAGGAGGTCATCATAGAATTATTTCATGTCTCATCATACGCGTTGCTTTGTGGCCGGCCGTACGTGGTAACTTAAATTATAGTAGATCAGAAAAAAAAAAAAACTTCAAGACAACATCTTACTAATGTTTGTGGATCCACTGTCCATCAACTACTTTAGGCTAGATTTCCAAAGCCTTTAAAAAATTGCATCCAAGCATAAGTAGGCAAGTTACTCAAGTTTTCAAAACTGTCCCTGCTCTGTAAAAATATGTTTTCCTAAACTGGGATTTGAGTGTGCAGTTCTGTTTGTAATGATATGTAGTGAAACCCAATAAAGGATTATCTTCTTTTTCCCACTTATGACTTTCCATCAATCACAAGCAACTTCTCTGAGAAAAAAATAAAATTAAGAAAAGATAAACATTATTTCAAATTCTGTATTTTAAACTACCGGACTTCCATGATGGCAGATAAAATAAAAAAACACAAGATTAACATTCCTCTTTTACCTATTAAGTTGACTCGCCCTGGTGCACGAACATAAAACTTGGGAGCCGATCCAAATTTTGATACAAACATCTCCTTCAGCTTCAGCAATCTGAAAGGCAGGTTGGAAACCTTTAGAATGAATGTTTTTGGATAAAAGATAGGAAGTCTATGGTCTAAAATGTGTTCTTAAAATAAATTAGACCGGACTTTCTGAAGCACCTGGAATTTTCTTCGTTACATAAGGAGCTAAATTAAACTACTTATTTTTTCCCCTTCACATAACCATAATTTGTGACAGAGGAGGAGAAGACGCTATTTAGAATATACCAGTTAATAAGAAGTTTGTTTTAAAATCAAGTAATCATAAACAAATTCAGGAGCTACATGTCCAAAAATAACTAATGTTTGTATGTCTGCTTAAAAACGATGAAAGGGGCCTAATTTTACACATATCCTCTGCCTATGTTGGCAGAGGACCTAGGTTGGTTCTGGCCAGCAGCAGAGTAGGCAGTTGCCTGGAGTAACAAAATACCACGGCCTCCACCTGTATTTCAAGTGCCACAGCTCTGCTGAGGAAGAGGACAGGCAGTGCAGACCAACAGCTTTTTTGCAGCATTGGGATTTGGAGGCAGCTACAAGTCACCATCCTTTCCTCCCTTGCATCTGGTGGGAGCAGGATGAGCAAAACGCATCTGTAGCTGCACCTTCCTTCAGCCACCTTTCCCCTTTCCATCCTGCGGCAGGAGCTGCAAGGTCTTTGCTCCTTATCCCAAGGCACCAGAGGTCCACTTTGCCTATACTGCAGAAAGCTTTAACCCATCTCTAGAAAGCAGGGCATTTTTCTGTGTCACAAGACCCAGCAGAAAACTGAAGCGTTCAAAACTTTGTTAAAGTTTTCAGAAGTGTAGTTTTTTTTTCTCCCAGATATTCCTGACCACGCTAATTAAAACTTCAAAACTAGGACAAAGAATATGGGAAGAAAGAGGAAGAAGGAAAGACTGGATGTAACATGTGACTTTTTTTTTTTTTTTTTGCATCTTTCTCGCATGTTCAGGAGAACTTTAATGTGCTTTACAGACAGTAATAATTAAACCCAGCAAGATCTATGTGAGGCAGGTACATTTATTCTTATTTAACAGGCAAGGAAATAGAGGCAGAGATTTACTAAATAGTCCATGTTCAGCAAATAAATTCCTAGAAGAGAGTGTGTAGTTCTGACTCACTATCTGGTGCTCTAAACATTGAACAACTTCCTTGTGTGACTTAAGCTACAAAATATATATTTCTAATAAAAACTGCCTTTTTTTCTTGTTTTTCTTGTCGCAATTGTACTTTATGTGTTTAGTTGGAAGTGGCATGAAATCATTGGATAAGTTTGGTCGGAAGGGACCTCGTCTGTTCCAAACACTTGCTCAAAGCAGGGCTAACCTCAAAGTTAGATCACATTGCTCAAGGCCTGAGCAAACTGATTTTCTTCTAAGTTTTGACTTTTTCAAATTCTGTATCAAAATTTACACCACTTCTGTATAAATACACATACAGGGAACCAAAATTCCAAACCTTGGATTACTCCTGTCACTGTTTAGACAGTGTTTTCTGTACAGTTTCACAGCAACTGTTTCCAGAAAGTTCTTCAAATTTTCCCTTGAGGTTATATACATGCCACTGAAAGTTCTAATGGAAAGAAAAGATCTGGCATGTTGCTTTCTTTCATAAGGCTGTAAAGATATTTAACTTCCGCCCTGTGTTTGCAAAGTAGGGATGCTTCTGAGTGTCATGTAGCAGCAGCGTAAACAGAGACTGAGAAGAGTTTAAGCCACTATCGTAGCGCAGCATGAGAGATTTGACACCAATTCACTTCAAAATAACCTTAAACACACTAACCCATTAACTTTCATTAGTGGAAGCAGCAGACTAAAAAGATGAAGAACAAACAGCATGAAGACAAGAAAAATAATCTTTAAGACAGGTCTTACACTATTTCACCAGCAGACTCTGGTGGCTTTCAAGCATGCACCCAATTCTTTTTTTTTTTTTTTTTTGCTTTTAGCCTAATAACAAAACTAGTCACAGGAACCCTGCTAAGATTTCTACATTTAGTCTAAAACTAGAACTGGAAGCCTAGTTAATGCAAAGCGTAAGTAGGATGACAGCAATAAAAAACAGATGTTACAAAATTTCATAGTCAATTATTTAGTTTGTACTTCTTTTTAAGAGCTGTATTATTGGCCAACTACATATATTCAAATGTTTTGTAAGATTTCTCTAGAAGGAAAACTACAAAGTATTATTATTTGTTGTGAATTCTTTAACAGATCTTTCTGTACTTTTCCATCCTGGAGCCCAGTAACAAAACTGTATTGTCTCTTAATTTGCTCATAAACTCCCCTCGTATGGACTAGTTTATCACTCTCCCAATTAGCAGCAGCAATTTCTGCCATTTCACTCTCCAGTCTTTTTTCTAGATCACATTCATGACAAAACTATAGTCCACAGGGATGTTTGCTGGCAGATTCTAGAAGCAATGGGAACTTTATTCCTTTTTGCGCCAGTTTTAGAACGCTTCTTTCACAGCTATTTTTACAGTGGTGTTGGTACCAAGAGACCAAGAACAAAGAGAACAGTCATGGGGGCATGGGTAGCTAAGTGCTGACTGATCTCTTTGCTTAATATGCGCTTACAAGCAAGCCTGAGGAAAGGCTATTTACAGGCTTTGGCCTTGTGGTTGCAACACGCATGCTGCAATGAAAGCACCTTCACCAAAGAGGGATGTCAAAGCGTTAAGCAAACGCATCCCTCACAACTTCACACAGCCCAGTCCGGACTCCCCACCCTTTCCGCGTGACTCGAAAGGCAGCACAATCTGACATTATTAGCAAGAGCTTAAAAAATGCCCCGTCTCCAGCGCTAACGCAGGTGAAAAGGCATGTTCGAACTCTCCGTGCGGAGTACTTCCAACGCAGCGAAGGGCAACCCTGCGGCGAAAAAAGCAGGCGTTTGCAGGCGCACCAAGAGGGACCGAGGCCTCCGCCGTCCCGGAGAGCGGTGCGGGCGCTTCTCTGATACCAGGCACACGGGACAGAGGACAGTCGTTATCCCCAAACGCTGGGGAGAGGGGCTGTTAGGAGGAACGATCCGTGGGCGAGAGGGGCGTCCGCGCGTTGCGCTCGCTGCCTGGCAGGGAGGCGACGGATCCGGGCCGGCGGCCGAGAGGGACAGGAGCAGGCCCCGGCCCGGTAGGCCAAGGCAGCGGTGGCAAGGGCACTTCCGGGGCCCCTTAAAACGCAGGGGCC